TCATATTTTGTTCTTATTTTTATTTTCTTGCACTGTTGGATTTCGTTAGATAAAACAACAAATACTTCTCTAGTTGCCTTCTTAATGACGACATTTCTTTTACTCTCTCTTTTCTTTTTTCACATATATACTCAGTCTTTATAAATAGATCAATATGATATGATGACCAAGTGGAATTTTAAGCCGTCATGTATAATATAGTAGTCGTAGTTATAGTCGGCGACAACATTAACAAGTAATTTGAGATTGGTCAAACTCTCTTACAGGCATTAACTTTGATAAGTCACAAAGAATAAAACGACAACAATACAACGAATTGAACTGCAAAGTGAACGAATGAATATATTGATCTTTAATTTTTTGTATACATGTCACTTAAAATCACACCTACACAAATAGAATCAAAAAGAGAGATAGCAAAGAGAGGAAGAGAAAGAGGTCATAGAGACGCCGCTGTGTTCTTTTCTATATACTTGACGTTTTTTTTCTTCTTCTTCTTGTTCATACTAATCAATTATTTGATGTAATACATTGAAAAACAAATCATAAGTGGATAATGATGCAAGCGCGCGGCATGACTAAATCTATACTTAAGTATACATTGGATAGATTTGAGATGACAATTTCATATAGAGTAATCATTATTATAGAGAAATTTATAACAGAAATATTTTTTGATTTTTATCCTCTAATCGGATAAAACTCAATTTTCTTTGTTGAAACTATAAATTGTATATTTATTTAAATGAAATTACCTGTATGAGAGTGTACATCCTATTCTTTCCCCCGTGATTTTTTTCCTCTCTATTTGCATAGTATCATATTTAGTAAGGGGCACTGTTTCTTTCTATTTATATTTACACAAAAACATACTAATTTTCTTCATGAACGTCATTCAATCTACTATTCAATGATTTTACATTTCATTTGATACATGATTTGATAAAATCAACGATTGTAAATCTTTAGTTCATTTTCATTATTAATCGATTTTGATAAAGATATATCTCATGTAGTGAAACGTTAGTTAGATGAATTTTAAAAGAAATATAAATAGAACTAAATACAATCAAAATCTGATTTAATTATACATACTAAATTTTAGTTCCATATCATGAATTACATTGGTATTTGATTCATTGAAGAGCAACATTGTTTAGAAAAGTTGATCATTCTAATCTGTTTCTACTAGTAAAAGAAATAATAAAAAAAATACAATTGATCTTGAAATCTTTAAATAATAGTATATAGAAATAAAATTCTATTAATACAAACATAACTGCTCATCTACTAATAGTAGTTGTAAACGATATATAACTAACAGTTAATTCTAATATTCGATAATAACTATCGAGATTGTTTTAAACTTATTTTAACATAGAAACTCCATGCACTACATTGTTTCTTTCAACGTAAATATATTTACTCTATAATTCTATTGAAACATAATCATGAATTGACGAATAAAATGTAAAGTAAACGAGAAAAGTGAAATATATTATCATCAATTTAAAAGTGCATGTATTTTTTTATTAGATAACTAAACAGTTTGATTGGACAGATTTCAACTTTTATTTATTTTTCTGCATTTATGTCTTTAGCAAATATATTTCAATTAACTATTGAGATTGTCAAAAGGAAAAGTGAATTTTATTTAAAAATGTTTTTTTTAGATCAATGATTAGTTATTTTAGCGTTAAAAAGTTTTTAGATAAACTTAAATATATCTGATGAAGTATTATTATATTTTAAATTCATAACTTAGCGTTTTTGTAAATACTCGTTAATAATATCAATTATTTGTGCTGTGATTTCAAGATTTATATGTGTTCGATCAACAATAATTTCTTCAATTGCAACTCTATCTTCTGTATTTTATATTATTTGTAGCAAAATTTACAATCAACAGAGGACGCTATGTGACATAAAATAATCATTATGTTCATCAACATTCTAGAGGTTGAAACCAATGCGATCCTCAACAACCTATTAAATAATGTCTGTTTGGATTCATCAATTATTACTATGTTTTTTTTTTGCATCATTTTTTTCATTCTTTTGAATAAAATCCTCAGATGGCTAGTGGTTCCGTAGTTGATTATTATAGTTCTCGTGCTAATCTTGATAAACTCAATCCATTAATACGTTCAGCATATAATACTACATCAGATTTTGAAGAATATAAACAAAAATTACTTACAAAAGTCGATGCTGGTAATCAAGATGGAAATACAACATATCTTGATTCACTTGAAGAAATTCGCCGCGAACAACGTGTTCGATTGGCGCAAATTGAACATGAGTATTATAACCTAAAGAACGTTCAATCATTTGATGTACCATATTATCCACAAAATATAGAACAAAAACACGTAACTATAGTTACATCAAAACCACCACTACCAACTGCATCAAGAAGATCACCATCACCAGTTTTTGTTATTGAAGATCAAACTCAACATCATATTCATCATCGTCCCATATCAGCGAATATAGTTCGACGACATGATGATAATATAGCTTATTGTCCACATCGAACATCTGCAGACGATACAATAACAAAAAATGAACATGATTTATCAACGAGTCATGTTCAAAATCAAATACATAATTTATGGAATGAATTCGAATTAGAGGATTATTTAGAACAGAAAAAGTAAGATAAATAAAGTAATTCAGTTATTGAGAGAATCTTATATGATTGTTTTTTAAAGAACTCGACGTCCTCCAAGTGCGCCATTAAATGATAATTGGGCAGGTCGTGTAACAGTACC